AGATAAAATCATATTTTCCCAATCTGATTTGATAAATAGCAGGAAGTCTAGAATGCCTAATTTATGCTCATTACTAATTTCCTTTTGAGATATTCAGAAGTTTCGTGGTTTTCCTTTGCATCCTGTGTTTTTGTGTGGTGGCTCCCACCACACATGTTGAGCTGTCGGCCTGGAATGCCCCGAGGACTGCTGGGCCAGACAGTCACGGTCAATGTGTGAAACCAACAGAGCGAAAAACAACAGGACCTTTTGCACAACAGGGTCAGCATTTAAAGACACCTCTACAGAGCATGTTTGCTATTTCAGCCGCGGGGAGGGGAAAGACAAAGAGACAGACAAGGAATCCTGATTGGAGAGATGTTCCTTTAAGAAGTGTCTACAAATCAGGAAATGTGAGTCAGGAAGTCTTAAATGATCTAATCTGAGAATTAATTCTAAAATCAACATTTGGAGTCTCAAACATTTCATCCAAAGATCTGATTACAGTCACAGCTATTGTTAATTTAGTTATGGTCAACAACACCCCCTGCTGTTTCCGTTCTAATATTGCTACAATATACACTCTTATGAAAAAAGCAAATCAACCAAACACATAAATCATGAAAATCATCAAAAATGGTCCCTAAGCAATAAAATATGCAGTTATTTTGTGTCTTGTTAGTTGTGACCAAGCATAAATCTATGTATAAATGCTGGGTGAGTTTTAGTTTGACAGTCCATTAATTCCCAAAAGAAGGCCCTTTGCAGAAACACATGCACTTTTGTGGGAATATTGAGTGGTGGTATGGCAAGCAGGCCACACAGCAGCTTTGGCCTCTCAGTACTACAACCAGAGGCAATTTATGACTGTTTGTCCTGCGAGCCTGGAAGCTGCTGTGGGAGAAGTCAGGGGTCACTGGTCAGCTTAAGTGTTACATTTTTCACGGCACCTTGAACGCTTCATATTATTCTCACTGAATAGTTGCATGTGTATGTGTATTGTTTTTTTAAGTAAGCCCAAAATATCACCAGGTTCTTCAAGTCACAGCTCGACCAGTTGTGAAGGGGCTGAGTAGAACATTTTTATGGTGCAGCAGTAGAAGAACTATTCAGATCTCTTAGTTAAGTAAAAGTATCAATACCAAAGGGTATAAATACTCTGAAACTATGCATTGAAACCTCTAAGTTAAAATACATATTTGCATCAAAATGTACTTAAAGTGCCAAAAGTAAGTAAGTAAGTATTCATTATGCAGAATGGCCTATTTTAGAACAATGTATACATATCATTGGATTATAATTATGGATGCATTAATGTATAAGTCACTTTAATGATGCAGCTGGCGGAGGGAGAGGTGATTTTGATTATTTAATATACTGCTGGGTAGCTTGTAAATCTTCCCTGATCTTATCTCAACCTATAACAATACATTATGATTTATTTGTTGATCATATTTTGTATTAATAATCTGAATCTGCAAAGTAACTAGCAATTAAAGCTATCAATAAATTTAGCGAGTAAAAAGTATAATATTTGCCTCTGAATTGTAGTGGAGTAGAAGTAGAAAGCAGCATCAAATGGAGTCCCTCAAGTAAAGTACAAGTACCTTAGAATTGTCCTTAAATACGTACTTGACTAAATGTATTTAAGCAGTTCCATCATTTACACTTAAGCACAACTCTGACGTACTTTTACTTTACTTGAGCAATGCAGTTTCATGCTATTTCTACATTTCAGAGACAAATATTGTCCCTTTTTACTCCCCTTTAGAATGTAGAAGAGTATTTTTAGAATATTAGTACTTTTATTTAAAGAATACTTCCTTCACGACTAAGCAAGACATCAAGATACAATTTACATATCATCTTCAAATTGCTTGGCAATGTCAAGAGAGACTATCGGAACCATGAATTTAGTTGCTGTAAATGCAAACTTCAAGAATTACAGGAACAATTCTCCATTAACAGAGTGTAAAGAATACTTTGTTAGTAAGACGATTAGAGTTTACACAGTATCATTACAAATCTGGTATCATATGAAAAGCTGAGAAGAGGCAATATACTGCTTGCATGTGCATAGTTGGCCTCTAGATGGTGCCAGTGTCTTCTTTCTTAGTGGAGGACTGCCTGCTGCCAACAGCTGCACTGAAGAGGTTCACTTCAGGTTTAATCACATGGTAATTACACACATGTTAATTATAATTTTAGATCATTTTAGGTCAAGTGGACATTATGATTCCTTGTTAAACCTTTTGACTGCTTTTTCAACTAAATGGTGGATCACATTTTACTCCCAGCCTTTCAATGGAATACCCTCAAACTGACTCAACCTGACTGTCACAGTATATTAACATCACATGTGGTAGCAGGTTTTGTAAAAAGCAAACTAAGGGCATGATCATGCAAACCTGTTCATGTAAAGGCAAATGCATGTTGTTTGATTCATGTGAATTCAGATATGTCATGATGTTAGAGATAATATGATTTGCTATGACATTCAATATTTATAATCACAACTATTCAAATTATTCATCATGTATAATTGATTTATCTCTATAATTTTGTTCACCATTAATATTAGAGGATGATGTATGATGTTGCAAAAAACATAAGCATAAAAAAATTGTAATTCATATACAGTAATATTATGAGATAGATAAAGAAATAGCATAGCTTTATTATATTACCAGAAGATAATGATGATGATGCTCATAACATGTTTATATACATATATTATATATACAATTAATTAATTACTTTTCTGTTACTTGCCACCTATTGCCATTGTGATACTGAGTCTTACACTGTTAGTTTAATACTTTATCCTCATAGCATTTTGTTTATTACTCATTAAAGACGTTTCCACAATTTTTAAATACAAAAAGTTGTTTGTAGTTTAAATATCTTTTTAATTAGCTCAATGGCAGCAGTTTTGTATTTGCAACAACTTCCTGAAACTGATGTTGTCAAGAAACATACTGACACATTTTTCATCAATCAGAAATAACGGTCAGGCTGCAGTCTTACATCTGCACTGTAAACATGTGCGATTTACATGTGCTGCATTTTTGTGTTACAGTTTTCAGGGTATTTCTTTTCCTGTCATAGATCAATAATGACATGTTTTCCTTTTTTTTTCATTGTAAAATGAATTTACCTTCATTTTTACCATCATTTACCTTTTGATTTGAGGTTTTATGTTCACATTGCATCAGTTTCACTTCTGAAGCAATACAAACATTCCTATCCACAGACCTAATACTTCTTCACAGTGCTGTGACTGTCTTCAGTCCACATTACCCCCTTACGGTAATTGAGGAGTTATGGTAGATAGTTATGAACAGAGACTGACCTTTTATTTTTATCATAGCATAGTCATTCAAGGACAGAGTGCAGAACAAACTACACTCATACCATCAACTAGTAAAAGCTGCAGCATGTAGGGGGAGGGGGTACATTAGATTAATGGGTCAGTCAGCATGTCTCCCTCCTGCTCTAGACTCTATTGTGTGTTGTAAGTGGCCCGGTGCCCAAATTACATTCATTATGCTCCTATGGGCCAAGGCTCTGTGGGAGAAATGCAGTGTTATCACTCTGTTTCCTCTTAATGAGCAGCTCTGCAGCTTCTCTGCTAACTTTCTCTGCATGTGTTTTCTTTTTCCCAGGAAGCAGTCACATCTTATTTAAAGCTTTGAGTCAGACCTTATTAGATTCTGTGTCTATCATAATGTGTACCATATATAAAATGGTGGTTTTGTTCTCTCTTAATACAAGAACAATTAGCTTCACCTGGAGGGCCCATTAACACCATTACAATCAGATTGGAGCCCTTAATTGAATCACTCACACAGTGTCATCCAGTGCGTGCTATAGCAGGTTCCTGAGTATATGTGGCGACATGATTGTTTGACAGATTATTTTGTGGACGTAAATGTTTTGCAAGTTGGAGCCTGTGGATACGTGATAGTCCCAAATAAGGGATGAAGAATGTTTGTTTTCCAGCAAATGCCTTCCCATGTCTTCCCTGCAGTTTGATACTATGTTGCATAATTTCCTGAGTAATAATTATGACATTTTCACAATAATTTTTCATTTTAACAGTGATTCTCTAGAAAAGGGCAGTCTCTGCTTTTATTTTATTTTAGAACAATGACAATGACTGTACTACTTTTTACAGCAGAACGTACTGAAATGCTGTAAAACATCCCCTACTTTAGAATAGTGATAAAGTTTGGCTAATACTACAAATGTATGCAATTGTAAAAAAACATAGAAATATCCTTACAATGGTGTCTGTGTGTGTGCAGCCCTTCGGTAAATGTTTGATTTGGGAATTCTTCCCTCACAGAAACTACAACAAGCCCCTCACAGTGCTATTCTGTGTGATCACTGATGTGGAATTTAGGAAGCTGGGGTGGGAGTGGAGAGGAAAGAGATGTTATAATCGACTCAGTGGGCTGCTGTTGTGTTCACTGAGGTTCATTGCAACAGGTTTATAATTTTGTCCCTCATGATTCCATCCTATAATAAACACAGCAGATTGTGTGATCTATTGGCTTGACCGTCTCAACAACATATGTTCATCGTGAGAACAACAGCAGGCCACTCTTGAGACATCTCTTGTTGCCATAGCAGCAGGTGGATCTGTCGAAGGGACGCTGTTACCTTAGAAACGGCCACCTTGTGTGTGCAGGGATATACTGTACCAGGGCAGGCGCTCAAACCTAAAGTCACGTAGGATTTACAAGCCTGTTCTTGACAATCACAGCTTTACAACTGTGAGGCGTGAAATGAACCTTTGCTATGTCACTGGCATCACAAAGTTCAGTTGCAGCATTGATAAGTGAGAGGGCAAACAGTAAAATCGATAAACGGCAGCGCATTCAACAAACATCACAAAATATGACCTTTGGCTGGGTGGGAAGATAAGCCCATCCCCTTTCTTCCCGCTCTCCCCCTTTCTGTCTTTCCTTGTTTATGTGTAGTGTGTTTGTCTGTTAGGCAATGGTTATAAAGACAGGGGTTTGAATAGTGGGTGGGGGATCCTAGAGTGATTCTGGAGAGATAAGGAGATGCATGGCCTGCCTGAGAAGGCCAAAAACTAAAACTAAACAGAGCTAAAACAGAAAGATTTGTGATGTAGGTGGAGTTAGTGTAGATCAGGGGAGGGTGAGAAAAGAGGGCTCAGACATGTGCAGAGAAGTGTGAGGAGTGAGTGAGGGCAGAGCTGCAGTGGCTTTGCGTGGAGTGAGAAATAGAGAGACAGAGTGTTGCTTTTACAGAAGAGAGAGGCAGATCAAGCAGCAGAGGCTCACACAGCAGTGACAAAGAAAGGAAGTGTGATAATCAGCTTGGGCAATGACTGTGTAAATTATTTGTTGCTGTTCCGTTCAAAGACTGGGGAGGTCTAACACAGAAATGAATGGTGATAACAGCAAACAGCGATATGTGTCAACCTTCAGGATGCACATCAAGCCTCCCTGTGCATCGTCTGCACCAGGGAATGGGCTGGGAACTACAGACACCAGGACTTCAGACAAATGTACTGACACAGGTAAGGGTTGCATGAGAGAGGGAGAGAGAAGATTAATAATTTAAGGGTGTGTGTTTACTCAACTGGTGCCTTATACTATGTTTTAAATGTCAGTATTTGAATAGGCAAGTCTGCACATGGTGATGCCTCTTGCACTGCAAACAGACTACAACAAATTTGCTTGATTTCTGCTGGTGTATAAAGTGAAACTGAGATAACACACTTCTAAGTTTGTTGCTTTTGAACCTAATGTCCTTGTCCAAATCTGATTGTTTATTGTGTTGGGGACCTCTCATGTCAGCCCACGCTGAACAGCAATTTATTTATGCTCTGAAAAGTTGAGAGCACACTTCCTTTCTTTCTCATTAGTTTGAACTAATATAAACTTGTGGCCTTTGCTGTGAAAGCGAAAGTGTTCATTTATTCATTTTCTATAGCTGGATCATGTGTGATCTGATACACATTACAATATACATTGATCATGATCAATGTATATTGTATATTTTTGTATATTATTTGTATATATGTATATTTGCATAGTATCTTTTACTTAAACATCAGGAACTGATAAAAAAAACAGCCTTACCAACTTGACCACGGTTTCATATTCAACAGCAGTTAAAGGTTTTTAGAGCAACCTATAAACCTTTGGTTCCGCTGAGTGCTGACTGCTAATAAAAGCTTCAAGTTCTCAATTTGTAAACTAAAAAAAGGTCAGAGAGTCATGATGTGAGAAACACTTGAAAATCCACCTTTCAGTGTTGCTTGATTGAAGCGCAGTCAGTGCATGTGGACAAATATCAGGCTTTACAGTGAATAATCCAGCATTGTAACGCTGGCTAAAGTTTGCTGGTAAAATACCAATTTTGTTAAACCATAACTAGTATATTGTTATTGACTTTACTTCAGCATTTCAACTTTTAAACAATGTTTAGTTAAAGTATTGTAGTACCTGACAGGCCTCTGTGATGGCAACTAATTATACTGGTCATAACACTCAGTGTCAGCCTGTGATTTGCTTTCAATTCATGAAACTTTACTGGATCAGGGGGAGTACAGTTCCTAGGAATACACATTCCCTTCCCTCAAGGATTTAGCTCTGATTTCAGTGAAAGTAAAAAAGACTTTTAAATAGGAAGACACAAGAAAGAGTACAGTTACCATGAACTTTGTATTTTATATCAAGGCAGAATATTGATGTCAGTGTTGTCTGAGCAGTGGTGACCTGAATTCATGTCATGTTTAACAAGAGAGAAAAGAAAGAACAAAAAAAGAGAACTTGTTATGGTAGATGAGGGGATGGAAAATACTCTGTAGCACTTCTAGCAGGTGTTACTTCAAGTAATGCAGTACTTACTTCAAGTGAGACAAGACCAAGACCACGAGACAAGAAGAATAGTTTTCTGTGTGAATTAATATAAAAAACACAATAGTGTAACATTTTTGGTCAGAATTTGCATTATGGATCTATACCAAGGATCAAAATTAAATGGGGAAAGGCTAAAATGAACTTTTTCTAAAACTAGGTGTATAAACTAGACTTAATAGATGCAGTTACATGAGGTTATGGTATTTGCTCCTCTGCAAAATCAGGAAATGGTAACGATTTTACTATAAACCCTTGATGTGCCTGCATTGCTCTTGTTTACGGCGTCCTCCAGGGTCTCTTAACCTCTCCTCATGTAAACGTCTGGATCCACCCGTCTTCATAGAGCCCCTGGTGGACTGCTGCGTGGATGAAGGATGTGACATCATACTGCGGGGGGTTATCACGGGAAGTCAGCCAATCAAAGTGTCGTGGTTGCACAATGGTGAGCAGGGATCATTTACACTGCTTGGGGTTGAATGTTGACCCCTGGAAATAAACAAATCATAACATAGTGTCTGTATTTCATTTACTCTGTTATACGTTAAATAAACAAAAACAGCAAGAGCTCATTTGGTTTTAAAACTGGTCATTTACAGTTTATGAGGATCGCTCTCTCCCTTATCTAACCAATTATCAACATCTTTTCTCCAAGTATCTGGCATCGTATCAGCCTTTCCTTTCTCACATTCCTTCTCTTCATAGTTCTTTATTGCCCATTACACTGGTAGGAGTGTTTCTAGTTTGTTTCTTGGCTCTTATGGGCAGGTGAGGTGGCCCGTTATGGGAATCCTTCCTTCAACGGCAGGGAGACAAGTTTTTTGGTGAGGGAGTCTTTGCCAGAAGATGCTGGCGCCTACACCTGTTTGGCAGAAAACAGTGCAGGGAAGACATCCTGCTGCGCTGCTGTGTTCGTCAGAGGTGAGGGAGACACTGAGACATGTGGGACATCTTTCAACTCCTCATACACAGCTGAGAGCACACTCGTGTTTCCTGCAAGTTGTAATGCAGCGTTCCTTGTTCAACATAAATATATCTATTCTGTTAGTTGCCTGATCACAATAAGTAGAAGTAAGCCACAGTTTCATTTCTGATGTTATGTGGTCTCTTCTTTTCCTCTTTCTGAAAACCAATCCAGACTTTGAAACCATCTATGACATGCAGAATCGCGTCTCAAATATTCCCACTTCTGCATCCAAGAGCATTATGGAGAATGGACGATCACCGCAGTCTCCCAAAAAAGAGCTACAGAAGTTCACAGGATCTATTTGTACCTCCCCAACCGGCTCTGATAAGCTTAGCCCAGTCTCAACTCCAAAAGGTAATCAGATAACCATTCATTTCACACATAGGCACAAAGGATTTGCTAGTTTCTAACTATTCAGTTTATTGCTTATGACAATATATAAACTGCAGCTTCCTTCCTCATATGCTGTGATGCACCAGGAGTATATATCGGCCTCTTTACCATTGTTTTAACCTCTTCCGGATATCCATGTTATTTTTAAATGAATAGGAAACACATCATTTCCAGTCCTCGTGTGATTGGTTGTCAGGCAACATTGATACCAGTAAGAAATTTTGCAGGACTTCCACAACAATGTAGCTTTTTGATACACCCACTAAAAGTCCTTAGTCCCAAGTGATCACCATGTAGGGAAGTGGACAGTGCACTGTACAGTAAAACTTGCTGAGTCTGTAAACTGATAGCCATAGAACAGAAGAGCAGAGCCACACCTCTATCCTGGCTTGCTAAAACCTACCTGCGCTTCATCTGTCTCTGCAGAAGTCATCCCAAAGAAGAGAGCCAACTCAGGAACAGGTGAGGAACACACACACATCTTTTTTTTTTTTTTTCTCCCTTCTCACTCACTATCTCTAAGCAGTGCACCTGTCTTTCCATCATCCACTCACCCTTTGGTTTCTCACTGTTCTCTGGTATAATGTTTGATTTGGCTTGCTCCTGTTAATGCAACCTATCCGTTACAGTCTATTTTGTGTGTTAGCGTGTGTGTGTGTGTGTGTGTGTTTGTGTGTGAGTTGCTTTTGATGCTGTTGTGGTTTGTCCTGGAGCTACACCTTCTTTTTTAGCCTTTGTTCTTGCTATAATGTTGTCAAGCTCTAGGCTATTGTGCTCCCATATACTGGGGAACTTTACCTGAGGGTGTAGGCTGCAACAATAAAAAAAATGAAAAGCTCACATAATAGGGTCTGCGAGTCTGTTTTGAGTGCAGGATAAGCAGTGGTGTTTTTTATGTGGTTTTATGAATTAGCTATAAGTGATGGCTGGAGAGGAGGATTTGACTGCCTGTTAAGAAGGTAAACTGATAATAAAGCTATTTGAACATCATTTTATCAGATTGCCTAGTCAAATTCACCATCCTGATGCCACAGTATTTGAATATTGACAGTGTGAGAGATGATATTGACTCCAGCTCATACATGGAATTTTCAGGTCTAATGTAATTGCATGGTAACATTACATAACTATATGATATGGTACAGGCAAATGTGTCTTCTGACTGTGTTTGCCTATTGATTTAAGTAAATAGTGTGAAACATATTTTGGAGCCTGGAAGCAAAGGTGTCTTCAATTAATTATTTTAACACTGTTTAGTACACTTGATTACACAAGGACTGGTTGTACTTGTGTGAGGAAGGTCATCTGTGTTTTGCATTTGTTTCCACTTGAGACACTTGCTGTGTATACTACATAATAAGGGTCTCAGGGGAAGCAACACACTTCCAGTCTCAGACTGCAGCACAAACCACAGATCACGTAATCCCATTCCACTATCACACATTTTCTCTGTCTCTCAACTCGACCAATACTACTACAATGAGCAGGCAGGCTCGTAGTCAAAACGCTCACTTTGTTTTATCTTTGCAGGTCCAACGTTACATTTCAAAAACCCTCCACAGCACATCAAAGTGGAGGTGGGACAAACTGCCCGAGTGACGTGTTGTTTCACCGGCAGTCCCCCTGTAGTGTCTTGTTGGATACGAAACAAAGACCAGGTAATGTAATTTTAAGGCTGGTTTACAAAATATCCATATTCTTCCATCCCAATGTTATTTGTCTCCATTGCTTCCCAGTATTTATCTCCCTCTCCCTCTCCCTCTCTCTCTTTTTCTTACACACATATCTGCAGATAGTGGATGGTCCAGAGCTATGGTCAGAAAATACTGATCAGAGCAGTACACTGGTTCTAGCAGAGGCTAAACCACAACACACAGGTCGCTACACTGTTGTAGTGAAGGACCGCAGGAACTCAGCACAACACACGCTCACCCTTTCCGTCATAGGTAAGACAACACACACTCTGCAGTGTCAGGACCATTTGAAGTAAGTTTGCAGTTACCTGAGCACATTTTTCATCATTATCCCACCAGAGAGGCCACAGCCTCCTGCCTCCTGTCCTGTGATCTCCCTCATCTCTACCAACAGCCTTGTGCTGTCCTGGTCGGGCCCCTGCTACGACGGTGGTAGTGCCATCCTTGGTTATGTGGTCGAGGTAAAGAACCAAGGACGTGTTGAACTTGGGGACTGGAGCGAGCTCACTGCTCAGTGTAAAAGTACCTCATACAGAGTGAGCTCTGGGCTGCAGCCTCAGCAGGAATACTGTTTCAGAGTGAGGGCCTACAACGAAGTGGGAGTAAGTGAGCCAGGGCCAGTGTCACCAGTGGTCAGGATGGAGCAAAAAGGTGAGGTGATATGGGGTATTGATGCCACAATTAAAAATAGAGGCAAATATGATGATATAATTACAGCTATTGTGTCTTTGTGTGTAGACTTAGACAAACCACAAGAAGAGGAGGCCCCTCAAACCTATACCTGTGTCACTATTGACTCTTCCCACAAAGTCACAGATCATTACAATTTGCTGGAGAAACTGGGAATGTAAGTATTCTGTCAGGAACCAACCTGATATAGTGTCACAAGAACACTTGACATTTCAAGTGAACATCTTTCTTTTATTAGTGTGGGTTGTTTCAGGCAGCAGTGAGAGGATTAAAAAATATGCATGTAGAGACATGGTCCTGCTCTAGTAAAAGATGTAATCTACTCTTTCTGCTTGACTGAAAGCTAAAGGAATTCATTTTGTTGTCAGTCTCTATTTCTGATGGGTTCACTTTAGTACACTACCCCCTTTTCAAGATCTATGACGACACAATTTACATTTTCTTCTTAAGAGCCAGGGTTAAAATTACGAAACTCGTCTCTTCATTAGGGGAAAGTTCGGCCTGGTGTTCAAGCTGACCCACAAAGTAACAGGACGTGTGTGTGCTGGGAAGTTCTACAAAGGCCGACGAGCCAAGGAGAGGGAGGCTGCGCGTAAAGAAATAGAGTTGATGAACTACCTCCACCACCCCAAACTGGTTCAATGCCTCGCTGCATACGATCACAAGCCAGAGATGGTCATGGTCATGGAGTTGTAAGTATCATCATGAAAGCCCAAAAGGGTTAAATATGGTTCTATACAAAGAATTATAATAACCATTTTCTGTCACTGTCTTTAGTATTGCAGGCGGGGAACTGTTTGAACGTATAGTGGACGACAGCTTTGAACACACTGAGCCTGCCAGTGTGCGCTACATGCAGCAGATCCTGGAGGGGATTGCCTACATGCATCAGCAGAATATTATCCATCTGGACCTCAAACCTGAAAATATTGTGTGTGTTGACACCACTGGAACCTCGGTTAAGATCATTGACTTCGGATTAGCCAGCAAGCTTGGTATGTGAAATGAAACTCTCTTTAATGGTCCAGTGAGTAATATTTTGAAGGCTCTATACACCTGAAAATAAGATTTGTTGTGTTTTCATTACCTTAGAAAGATCCGTTTTTATCTACAGAGGGAGCAGGTTCTCTTCTATGTAGGCCGCTATGTTGAATCACTATATTTTTATAGTAGCCCCGAGAGATTTAAACACTGGCTGTAAATAGGGCCTTCCGTGGTCACCATAGTTTCTCCTACTCCTGGAATGGGAGGATAAGGCGAGGGCTTTGCAAACAGCAACTACACCGCCAGATGCCATAAATCCGACACACTGGACCTTTAATGTTTACTAACCAAATTATGCACTGTATGTTTAACAGATGGCAGCACGCCTCTGAAGGTGATGCATGGGACTCCAGAGTTTGTGGCACCTGAAGTGATCAACTATGAGCCTGTGGATTTGGCCACTGACATGTGGAGCATTGGGGTCATATGTTACATATTGTGAGTATAGCCCTTTCTACGTTAAAGGAATAGTTTGACATGCACTGTCTTGCCAAGAGTTAGATGAAAATACCACTCTCTTGTTTATACAATAATTATACAGCTACAGCCAGCGGCCTGTTAGCTTAGCTTAGCACAACTGACTGGAAAAAGGGGGAAACAGCTGGAGTAGCTTTACACGAAGGGAACCAAATCCACCTGTCAACACCTCTAAAGCTAGAGCCTCCACCTGCCTTGCCTGGTACTCAAGAAAGCTAGCCAAGACATGGTTGGGTTTTACACGATGGTTCTTGCAACAGACCAAACTAACTGGATAAGTCAGTTAACTTTAGAGGTGCTGTTAGGTGGATTCTGTTTCCAGTCTTTATGCTAAGATAAGCTAACCAGCTTCAGATTTGCCGTACAGACATAAGTGGTATCAAACTTCTAACTCTCAGGATGAAAGCATATAAGACTGTTTCCCAAAAGGCACATTCAGCATATTTCTTTCCATGTAAACTGGTGAAAGCTGATTTTGTAACAGCGCCTGGGAACTAGGATTTAGTCAGTTGCACCCATGTACATCAAACTGGCCTAATCCACTTTCACTGTCAGTCAGAAGGCCCTTGACCAACTGCAAGTCTTGGTAACCACTTTTAGAAACGTAATAAAACATAATAGATTGATAGGGCTGTGCTGGTGGATCGACTGCCTGTTGTTTGAATGTTTTACTGACTTTTAATGCCACCTGGTGGATGTAGGTTGAAACAGTCAGTATATAATGACACTGCTGTCACTGCTGTCTTTTTTTCTCTTCAGACTGAGTGGTGAGTCTCCATTCCAGGGTCACAGCGATGCAGAGACCCTGGCCTTGGTCACAGCTGCCCAGTGGGAGTTTGACGAGGAGAGCTTTGATGAAATCACAGACGAGGCCAAGAATTTCATCAGCTCATTGCTCAACAAGGATACCAGGTGATTTCATAAACAAACTGCTATAACGCAGCCTCCAGAAACCATTTTCACTGAACCACATAACACTCTATGTGTTTCCCAGGCGGAGGATGTCCTGTGAAGAGGCACTTGCTCACCCTTGGATGGCAGCGTTTGACTCTAGAGATCTCGCCACCACCAAGAATCTGTCCAAGGAGAAAATGAAGAGGTTTCTAGCCAGGCAGAAGTGGAAGGTGACTTTTACTTTCATGTTTGTCTTTGAGGTGTTATTTTTGTTGTTTGTTCCAGATTTTTGACATTTTTTGTTAAATAGAAAGCAGGTAAGGCCTTGTTGGCCCTGAAGAGAATGGCTCTGCTGTCTAAAAGTGACAGCTCTGCATCTCCTACCAGCCCTGGAGAGGGTAAGACACTCTTTCTTTACATTCTTTTATTATCTCATCAGGACCATCAGGAACTGTTTAACCTTGTAGTATAGCCGTCCTGGGGTCCCCCCCACCCGTTTTCATTTGGTTCCTCCTTCCTCCCCCTCTTCTGTCCCAGACTCACCCCTGAGCCCAGAGGCAGCCCATGCCCTGCAGTCTCTGGAGCGCAAGATGCAGGAGCCACCCCAGTTCACCCAGAGCCTGGAGGACCAGACAGTTGCTCAGGGATCCAGTGCCCGTCTCTCATGTCACCTCACAGGTACACAACTTCTCTTCTTGAAGACTTCTTTCAAGAGCTCAAGCAATACCTGTGTTCCTCTTTGTAACATTTTAATACAGCCACTGGATGCTGCACTAGAGCCCAATAATCATAGACCAGAACAATAGGACAGGAATAATACTTACAAAAAATGGAGCGAAGGCTGCGAGCTAGTTCAAGCAGGTCAACTCGAGCTGCGCTGATTACACACATGACATGTGGAATAAGGCTTATTCCATAATCACTAACCAAGCGCACCCTTCCACTTTGGCTGTCTATTTAAACTGCACAATTTCCCAGCTCACCCTCTGCTCTGTCAATGCCGCTGTTGCCCTGCATCCGTATTGCTGCTGCTGCTCTATAAGCTATTGCTGCCTGCTGCGCTGTAAGCCCCACCACCACCCCAGCATCCACCTGTAGGCTCTGACTGGGGGTTAAGGTATTTGCGCATCACTCCCCAATATCTCTATGTAAACATATCTGCGGGGAGTGATGAGGTCGGAACCTAGACGCCAAAATCTAAATATGCTATACTGCTTAATAAACATTCCAAACGTGAGTTGGCTGACTGAACTGTCTTTGTTTGTCTTTCCACAGTCTTTCCAACAGTAACACTGGTTTGGTCCAAATTAACCCTTAATTCACAGAGTTAGATGCAAAAATGCTGCAATGGCTGCAACGTAAACTAATGCTAATCCCTGGGGGCCGTTAAAGTATTTCCACTAAGAGTGCTTGTTTTTGCTACTGACATGCTCAACTTGCCTGACAAAGATACCTACAGAGACATTTTGTTTAACCAGAAACAATCATAATGTTGCTATCACTCACCATACTATTTTTTTTTTACTTTGCATATCACATTGTAACATCATAACCTCATTCAGAAACTGAAAAGAGTTTCAGTCACTCTACTCAGCTGCACATGGGACAGACGGGCTGTGTAAACAAACCACAGAGAGGCTGCGATCAACCCAACTTGACTTTAACTTCCCCTAAAAGACTTAAAAACAATATGTTGTAGTTTTGCTTCATTTCAGAAATACTGCCTATTGCCCCTGTCCTCACCCCTTCCGTTTATCTTGGCAGGATATCCTGACCCAGAGGTGGTGTGGCTGTGTGCGGAAGAGCCTGTGGTGGAGTCACCCACAGTGCAGATAGAGTATGAGGAAGATGGCCGCTGCACCCTGGTCCTAGCCAAAGTTGGCCCAGGGGACACCAACGTTTACACCTGTAGAGCCACCAATGACCATGGGGAGACCTCATGCTCAGCTAAACTCACTGTTCCAGAGTAGATTCATAATATCTGCTCATGTATACAGAGATAAATATATATATATATATATATATATATATATATATATAAACATAATGTTCTTGACTGCCTTCAACAGTTGTATTGTACATTCCTGTTTTAATACAGAAGGGGACCAAACTGTACATCTTGTACTGTGGCTGGAAATATACATGTATTACTGTACAAATTGTATGAACAGATGAATATTGTTACAGAGTTACTATATAGATAAAGGCTGATATTTCTTCATGGGACTATGGTTATTCACTGTCTTAAACAACGTGTTGTTTCAGCTAAAACCACTAATCTATTTCTTACTTTGACCCAAGTCAATTCAGCTGGAAATAAGAATAAATTGATATATCCTTTTTGAAAAGCTAAGAGGCCTAAAATGATGCTGTTTGAATCACATAGTGAAGATGTGAGTTCGTCATGAGGTTCCTAATGGTGGCTTTTTCTAGTTATTCAAACACCAGGGACAATGAATTTGTCAAAAAAAAGTAGTATATTAAGTATGTATTACAGACAGAGAATTGTATAAAACAAACTTCTTGTAGTTAATGAGTTCATTGTTTGGGTTCATATATAATATTAAATATCCATAAACTATAAGTCACTTAGTCAGGGGTCGTCAGTTAACTAAATGATAGAAAGGTGGTTCCTAAAGGAAACATGTTGGAACCACTGGGCTAGACAGTACTGATGCATGAATTAAATAAACAGGATAATCTGTAAGAGCTCTCAAGAGTATCTCACACTGACATTTTCCTTACAGATGCAACTGCTGTTATGAACAGATACATAAAATGACGTTGTGATGTACTCCGGGATACTGTTACATTATGGCTTTGAACTTTGTATTTTGAGAAAGACCTGACAGCTATTAACGTTATAGCTATTTTGTCTACATACAACACCACATGAAAGCACTTCCGCTCTGATGGCACACTCATGTAGTTTACAATCACTTACTTTGACCATGATGCCTAAATCCATTAAAAATGTAGTTTTTAAAAGTTGCTACATGCATTCAGCATTATAGTCCATTTGCAGCTGTAGCCAATTGCACATTGTGCATGAAAGCATACAAAGACACACACACTGCCTGCATGAAATCAGGCTGTCGGTCATATATTTTATTTTATATTTTCTATATGATTTATCATGTATCTTGTTAAATCTTGACAAATTGAAATTAAAAATAACACAAAAGATGTTTGTCCTGAGGTGGGGAGCGCATCAAGTAGCCTTTAATATTGCAGTGTGCTCTTACTTTCAAAGGTTCTGGTGTTTAACGCACTCAGGAAGTAGTTGTGGCGGAAGTACGAGTCTGTTTACAACTGACTGTCCGTAGCTTTACAATGGTGCTCGGCAATAAAGTCTTTTGACAAGTTCTATTGCACAAAACAACATATCCATGGGGAAGATGTAGATGATATGTGTCCCTGGTGAAAGGTAACACAGCTCACTAAATTGGCCCGTGGGGTTACATAATAGATGTTTTTTGGTCCTCAAGCAACATGACATTTTTCTTTTATTACAGATCCTCAATAAAGCATAATTACCTTCGTCTACAAAGCTGACAAGCCTGGCAAAAAGTTTGCCCAGAGGACCCAGGGACCTTTTACTGTGCCAAATTATTGCTCAAGGGTAGATTCTGTGTATGTTTTCAAAACAATAATGCATAAATACAAACCATCACCATCATCTACACACATACCATTCTTATGTGCATTTTCACCTTCAATAGAAATAACCAGAACATATTATGAGATGAAAGTAGAAACACAGACATTGTGCAGAGAAAGCTTAATATTAATTTTTATTCCCAGATATTATCATATTACAATGTTTAATTACATTTACACTTCATAATGTGTATTTCTTAAACTAAATCCATACACAGCACATGGCTTGCGTGTGACTAGTTTTTCCACAGATTTTACTTCCCATGCTACGAGTTAGCAGAATAAATAAAGTTAGATATTCCTTTTACTGTCAAAGCAAGAAGACCCAGGCAGACCTGAAATCATGTTGTTTGAATCACATAGTGAAGAGCAGAAAACCACTGAAGGTGTTGTAGTTCATGGTGTCATCATAGACTATCCTGTTTGCCTGGAGCTCTGCATACACATTGTCTCCCACCTCGAGGGGGATGACCACAGCGTTGCTGCCCATGTCGTTGCCGTCAGTCCCTGAGGTGTCCCAGACAGATGTGAGCCGGACACCGTTCTTCATGAGGCTCACAACAGAGCTGGGGACAGCATTGAGGTTGTTGAACATGGAGAATCGAAAGAAGTACATTCCTTTGACCATTGCTGTGAAAATGCCTGCCAGAACAAAGAGAATGGTTTAAATTTCACGAGTTCTCATTTGTCTCTCTCCCCAGATGACTTTCCCTATCTAGCATACTCTACCTGTTGAAGGATTGTAGTTATTGCCAGTGTTGGAGAAGACTTTCTTATACTGCAGTGGGGTAGCAGTGGTGAAAGGTCCAGTGTTTCCAGAGCCAGAATCTCTGAGCGCTGCAGAAAAGGCCACCTGAGGTTTGCCTGAGAGAATCAAATTACCACAAACACATCAGAGGTAAGAATTAATAAAGGGAAGAATTATATCCCATTATTACATCACATTATTATATCCAATAAAACTTGCTCTGTATTACCTCCGGTCAGACTCAGGCTCCGCAGCTCCAGGACCTCTTTTTCAGTGTTTTGCAACTTAGCCTCCAGGAGTGTTATTTTTTCCGCCATGTTTGCAACTTTCTCTCCCATTGCTCCCAGGCTTTGAGTTATGGAAGTTAGGGAGTAGATTTCACAGCAACTGCTTGATCCTGAGCACTGACAGGCTTTGTCATTGTTTTCATTGACTTGCGCTTCAGATAGACAGCAGCTGAACGCTAGAACCAGGACCGCAATCTTCTTCATCCTTGTGGTTTAGAAATCCCTGCTTCTCTGCAGTGTTTCCCTGTCAATAGCTCCTCCTTTTATACTCAATGTGACATTGTGCAAAACACGAAAAACCCGTTTATAAAAAAACTGTAGTCTTTATTGGCATTTTAGTTGAGAGAGTTGGGAAAACACACCAAAGTCCAATAGCTGATTAATGATTTTAATACAGTTTGTTCAAATACAGCATGTTACTGTAAGGCAAAGTTTACAAAGGGCTTTACAGGCCTAAAGTAATAAAGACTTCCATAAATCAAGTCCAAAGAAATGTGATTATTATTTAAAAGATGATATTGATTTAGCAAACTTTTTCAAACAGGGCGTTCTGCAGTTTGATAGCCCTGCCCATAAATGTCAGACTGCACCCTGGTTAACAGTGAACTGAAAGGCCAAATGTACAGTTACAATACAAGCCTCGCCTTACTTTATAAATAAAATGGAAATAAACCAAAGTCACTGTAGGGATCCTTTAATTGGCCTACATTATTATGATTCTTTTTTTTAAATGGTGCATTGTTGGTACTTGTTTGTTTGTTCAGTGCTGTATACTGACACTGTTACTGATGTAAATATTCATACTGCAAATCATCAATATAGTAATTATATATTAAATTAGACTCAAGGTATTACTTAGAAGCTGAAATGTGTTGTTTTTGGAACTTTTTGTCTCATTTGAATAAAATAGTGTTGCATACTTTCACAATGAACTTGCATGATCCATTTAGTAAATGTCTTTACTTGTTTGTTCAATGACTCAAATATTCTTTCCATTTTCACAGAATTAGTTTAAACAATGTTCTTTCTTTGTGAAAGCCCAAATTAGTCAACTAAATAATTTAAGTAATCAAGATTTAAGTCATTTATTTTCTAGTTTGTTCCTACACAAAAACCATTAAAAATATCACATCTTTGATCTGTGAGCTCGTGTTGTCTGCATGTGCCCCACGTTTCAGTATGTGCTGTATGTGTCTTGTTTACCTCGTACTTTAAGCTGTTAAAATGGTCACGAGTTGTGAAATCAGCACCACATGTGCTTTTACAAGTTTCTTAACATTAAAACAGAAAACAGACAACCACCTAGAGAGTAAAGCTAGTTGTTTTGTTGTTGTGCTAACTGTAGCCTCGGGTCAGTGGTAATGTGCTTTCACAACCGTTCCTGAACCACATGCTTTTGTCCATTACTCTTGCTCAAACATAACAAATAAGCAGTTACACATACATTAATTAAACTACACTGGAAATGTGAACTTAAAAAAATAGATAGTATAAATGACGCTTGGACATAGTTTTACCAAAATAAGTTCTTTTTTATTCCACTGACCCACAATTTTACAAAGAAAACATCTGTGTTCAACATTAGAATTTGAAACCATGCATTTATTCATATCCCTAAAATAAATATATATATGTACAAGAAAGTAAATAATTTAGCTTGTGGCTTCCAGATAAATAGTTTTAAGTATATTCCATGTGCATATCAAATTTAATATAAGATATGAGTAAGTGCAAAAAGAAGATCCAGTCTCCTGTGTAAGTGTTGATAGTAGATAGAGCAGGGTTTGGTTGATAGTCAAAGTGGAACTGGATGAAAGGGAGGAAAGAAGGGGGGCGCCTCATGTCGACCGCCGCCTCAATGGCGCCTCCTGTTGGGCTCTGTAAAGCGTAGCTGCTCGTGACTCGAAGGCACCGACCATCTGCTTAACCACTTCGTCAAAGAACACGCTGGCCAGCTGAGAGTGCAGAAGAGACCTGAACTCAAATGACACCTGCAGGAAGGGGGACGGACATGTTAGCTAACAGTTTGAGAGACTCTTTATTTCAGAACTGATGTCTTGAAAGTATCTGAATATAGACCCATATCTCTGTCAGTTCTGTGGTTACTTAAGTTGGTAGATTTAAAATGTGTTTTTGACAGTGGACTTGTTCCGATACCGCCTGTCCTTGTTTGCTATTTTTTCCCCCAGGATGGCAAAGTCATGACCTGCCCTACTCTCTGCCCGACTCTGATTGGCTTACCCAGATATTCTCACTTTAACCCTAACCAATCTAAACAACCAGTATTGGATTGGCACTCGGTATTGGCCGACACTCAAAGTTCAAGTATCAGACTCAGCATTGGCAAGGAAAGAAATGCTCAGACTTTACTTCCTTCAGGTGTTCACTGATAATAAGTCTTAACATGTTCTACTAGAATCAGACCACTTCCTGGCTGACCCTGAGGTAATCTGAGCCAACACTGAGGTCAAACTCCTGTCAGCACCTCCTTAACACTGTTCCCTGCCCTGACAGTTATTTCAGGCCTCAAAAAGGACACCAGCATGCTACTCAAGACTAAATTTAGAGCATAATGAGATTTTATTTAACACTTCCGCCAGCCAGTAATCCATTCACAATGGTACAGGATCAGATACTTGGAATTATTTTATCCTTCAGCATGCACTCTGATCTCTCAAGTCCCATGGGAAAGTTATACATTTGTGATCAGTGGGTTTGTTAATATTCTATTTTATTCCGTTCATTGTGTACACTATTCTAGTTTGATTTCAGAACTCTACTTTTTCCCTATCTCTCCATATGTCAAATGTCCTCATGGTTCTCAGGGTCAGGTGTTAATTTTATCTTATACACTTACATAGAACTCCACTTTGCAGGAGGCTGGCAGGTCTTTGGCTCCAGGGGCAAACCTCCATATTGTTTCAAGGTGGCTGAATAGGGATCCATCAGTGCACACGGCCTGTTTCAAAAGAAATTACCCATTATTTATCGCTGACAACCAAAAGGCAATGAGCCTTACCCTGAGTCAAAGCCCAGACAAAGCTGTTATAATCTTTAAAGAGGAGCACAGAATGAAGAATCAATTCATACACTGATGAGGTAGTTACTTGTTACGGTTGTTTTCTCTTACCCTGACTTTGTGGTTCGGGACGACGGTGACCTCGGAGGTGTAGCGCTCCACGATGGGGGGGAAACCTATTTCTAGCTCCGCCTGGACATCCCCATTTCGTCCCTTAATGACCCTAGACTTCTTACACCAGGGAACAAAGTGCTGGTACTGGTCCACACCGGCCACCACATTGTACATCTGCTCTGGAGTATACCTGAGCACAGAGACATGACGACAGACGCACACACAGTGAGATATCATTTCAATACAGATAGAGTCTGGATTAATAATTTTTTCTATAAATTATCAGAAAATAATGAAAAATAGCCCAAAGAACAAGGACATTTGGTAAAGTCTCATACAAGACAAAAAAGCAACAAATCCTCATATCTGAGAAGCTGAAATCAAGCAAAAGCTGCTTGATTTGCAACTCCATTTAAATTAAATACATGCAGATTTATCTATCTATACCTTACCATATACATAAATGATTACAGTGATCTTATTTCAGTGATTTTGTTGGATGTTATATATCGGGACACTCACCCTAATGTCCGGCACTCGGTGTACTCCATCCTGCGGGTGGCGATGGGAGCAGCCAGGTTGATGAAGCTGCGGCTGGGTGTACTGATGGGGACGGCGGGGCAGAGAGGCAGGCTGGCCCTTCTCGCTACCAGGGCCCCACAGGAGCCCAAGTGTCTAAGGAGAGGACATTACATATATGGGAACACATTCATTAATTTGTGGGAAATAGACAAAGAACATCCCAGGTTTACTCAGTGAGTGTGAGTCCTGTGCCATCTAGTACCAGCTAGTTCATTCACATTTTATATGCTGTAAATTCACACTGTTTGAATATATGAGCTACAGTTCTTTAAAGAGAAAGTAAAGCATTCATAACACAGAACAGTATTCTGAATTTTAAATATCTGATGAAGTTAATAACTACCTCAGTGTTTTAACATTTCCCTGCAGATACATCTACCGGCAGCTCATTGAATAAAAACCAAATCTACCACCACAGGGAGGAAAAGTCCCGCGGTTGCTGCTTCACACTTCTCAAACACTAGAAATTAAGTCTAGTATTCATTAAAAGCAGCCTAACATGTCCGGATATGTAAGTAAACAAACTGAATACAACCAACAGCCACATTTCGATAACCTCTGACTGACTAAACACAGCCCAAATGACCTTTACTCAGTGTTTTCACCTGAACGCATCTCTGTGGGGAAGCCCCCTTACATTAGCATTATCACTCACCTGATATTCGCTCGGTTTGTCTTCCCTCGCACAACTTTTGAAGAGTGCGCTTCAGACACGTCCAGTAGCGCCTTAAAGAGGAGAGGAGTCGTCTTGTTGGCCATGGTGAAGTTTGAGTTTAAAAAAACTAATCCAGGTTCGTGGGAGAGACGTCGGTATTTTGGCCCCAGCAGCAGCGGCACCGACCCGGCTTTGTTCTGACTGATGAGCCGCTCCACTCGCCCATTAATGACAGCAGTGACGCAACAGGAGGCGCCATTGACTCTGGCCAATCAGCGAGAAGGGTTCACAAAGCTCACACTGGTAGCTTATAGGTGATAGTGATAAAGGTAGTGTTCCTAAATGAACAAGATAACCAACTAAAGATATTCAGAAGACTTTTACTGACTAAATTTGTCCAGTTCGACTGTTTTACAACTTGTATCTTTTAATTGAATAACATGTCTTGGACACTATCAGTCCTCAGTGGAGCTGCAGGTATGAAAGCTAAGTTGTATTGTTATTATGAGATGCATAATGCCAATATCAGAGCTTTAGATAAAACACTTCATAAAATGGGAGTTCACTTTAAAAGTGTTTGAAGTATTTACTCATGCACAGAATTGGTATTTTCTCTCTTGCCATCTAAAAATACCCCAATATTTGGCACATGTGAGTCACAAGTTCACAGGATTTTGAAAGGTTTCTAGGAGCAAATCAAAGTCTAAATGTGTGTGTGTGTGTGTGTGTGTGTGTGTGTGTGTGTGTGTGTGTGTGTGTGGCTAGTGAACAAGTGAATCACATGCTGTCCATGTGAGACACCTGGACTTTGGTGCTACAAAGGAATAAAGGTAATCAAATAAAATGTTGTTTGTAGAAGATCAGCATTCTAATACACAGACCAAAATGTTTAAATTAACACAGTAGGAAAACTACATTTGATTTTAACACATTTTACAACCAGCTATTACCTAACTCTCATTATACTGACACCTCTAAGTGCTGCTGTGTTAGGTGACTGTCTATTACAGGACCTTCAGCCTGGAATTAGGGCACTTGATCAGGGAGGAATTAAAGAACATCCTTTCAAAGATAGGCCGGAAACGTAACTTGTAGGTGCACAGACAAGCTAACCTGCCTCAGCTTATATAAGAACACACAGGCTTAAAAGCATCAGCCTGATCCAAAAATGACACAAGGGATGGATGCTGTTCCAGCTGGCCCTCAATGAGTCTTTCATCCCTGAACTTTATACAGTTCGGTGATTCAAAAGCCCAGCTGAGGCAATTAAACTGCCTTCTCCTCTTCCTCTTTTAGACTTCTATTTGAAATAGAAAGGTACTCAAGGTTTTCTTTTTCTGTTTATGCAATTTGTCGTCTCAGGACCAAACCTGCCAAACTGCACTACACTGGTGTCATGAAGTCTTCAGTTTTCAGTTCACTTGCTTTTTAACAGATGTATTAATCATTCTACATCAATCATAAATCTAACTGTGTCTAGATATATGTCACCCAATGCCAAACATACAAGATAATTTGCCTAAAGCAAGTAAATGTCTCCAATAAAGACTTCAGAGGACAGACAGGGAATCCACTCATAGGTAAAAGGATATTTCCAGACTAAGCTGTTGGATTTTCCCTATCTTGTTTTTTTTAGATAAAAAGCTTGATCCACATCAACAAAATATTGTCCCCCTGATTATTAATTAGCTTCACATAGTATAGTTACCATAAATACATATTTACAGGAACAAATATGCTGTATAGTAATATAGAGTAATTCTGGTACACATGTGAAATACAATCTGCAGTGAGTGTTTACCAGATATTATCTGTAAAAGTCATTTTACTTTAAATTCAAATGCTTTATTCATTAATCCCTCAAGGGGCATTTTAAGGCAGGCGATACAGCAAATACTAATAAAGAAATACAGCATATAATATCATTAACTCATGTAAAATAATAACAAAAGAACATTCTTAGAGTATTTTCACTTTAACAGTGTGGTTAAAAACCTGTTCAGTAGCACACCAAGCCCAGTGAAAATATGCCAAACAAGAACACTATAAAACAACAGGAATGTAAAACCTGTTGTATCGCTCAAAACATAATCCTTATAAAATATTTCTCCACCAACCAGAAAGTCTATTTTTATGTTTATAATTTTATATTGCGATAAGGAATCTAACTTTTGATAAGAGACATACAAAAATAGAAGCATGGACTCTGGGAACTCTACTCACAAAACTCTGAACTTACTGCCCTTTCCAGTTGAGCAACCACGGTGAGTCAGAGAGCGCCAACTTTATAGCACAAATCAATAATGAAGGAAAACAATATTAACCTCTGCACATAAAGTAAAAGAAGGGCAAGTCTGCACATGAAGTAATGGCCTGGTTGGAAATAAGGCATGTACGAAATTATTGTTCCTCAGCAGAGAAAATGATTTTGCTCATCGCACTGATGTACCGCGAGCCATCTGGTTCTGTGATCTTCAGTTTGGTGAGAGGTGGCATGACACCGCTGGTGAAGTATCTGAATGCAGGGCTGGGTGACTGGATGGCATCCAGAAATACCTTGGAGACAACAACAAACACCACAGCAGAAGAAGTTATTAATTCACCTGAAAGGTAAATGTGCTTAGTTACATTCCACCACTGTCTCATGCAAATGTGGAATAATACAGTCCATAAAGGAGGAGTTCAAAGTCATGTGTGACCTGTCTCCAGTATGATAGAGGCTCCTCCCTTTCCATAGCTGGTGAACATTATTTTATTTATTTTATTTTTAGATAGCAGACTAAAGTAAATGTTTCACTGTGGTGTCAAACTGTTTAGTCTGAATGGTTTCATGTGTCCAGGGGACATTTAATTTTCTTTTCCACACTAAAAACATTTTAGAGAAAATGCAGAAAGTGAAAATCTACTTATTTGGGATTATGTGTTGATATTTAGATCAAATGCTGTACAATTAGCTTTAATAAAAAGAAATGTCAGCCTTTAAACACAAATTGATTAACCCTCATTTCGAATATTAACTGTATCCACCAGCATCATTGATACTAATGCAGTTATGACCTACTTTATACATACCTTTACAATATCCTCAGTGTCCTGTGCTGCGTTTTGGAAAACGGAGCCACAGTGCTGCAGGTATTTTTCATAGAGGCTGAGTGTGTGGGTATCAACCAGTTGCAGAGACTCATCCCCGAGCTCTGTCTTCTGCAGGTTAACCAGGAAGTCAGTGTTGACTGGACCACACTCAATGAGACTCACACTGCAGGATGGAGCATCAAGTCAATAGTGTCTCCTAATTAACATTTACAGTTAATAGACATTAGATTAGATGAGCAGAAACAAGATGCCGGTAACTTTAAAACTCACTGGATATTGAAGTGTTGCAGGAGGACAGCCAAACTCTCACATGCTCCCTCTATTGCAAATTTGCTGGCACAGTACACCTCATTAAAAGGGAGACCTGTAAGAGAGCATGGAGCACAAAGATGGGTTATTTTGGCAATTTCATGCATGGCAGCAAGCATCAACATCATTTTCTTTTTTGCAATTTCTATCAAATCATGACAGGAACTGCACATGCGTAACATTGCTGACATTCAGTAATTCCTCGACCTTTTCCTTGTCTCACCGTGTAGCCCTCCAGTGCTGCCAGTGACCAGAACGCGGCCCTTGCCCTGAGCCTTCATGTCCGGTAGGAAAGCCTGGATGGTCTGAATGGTACCAAGGAGGTTGACCTCCAGAATCTGCCTCATTGAGTCCAAGGACTGGACCTCCAGTGGACCCATCAAACCCACACCAGCATTGCACACTGTAAGTAGTGAGGATATAATCCCATGTAAACACACACAAACTACTGTCTTAATCAGAACACACTGACACAAGAGCATACCCAGAATGTCCACTCGATTCTCCACAACCCTGTCTCTCGCATCCAGAATGGACTGCCGGCTCGTCACGTCCATTTGGAGTATGTCCAAGGTATCCTTGTGCAGGCCTTTCACACACTCTAAGAGACGCTCCTTCTTGGCCAGGTTTCTCATCGTCGCATAGACTAAACAGAAAGCAGAACTTAGTGGCATGTTTTGATACAGATGTAAAAAAGGGAAACATACATTGGACTCACAGCATCACATACAGCGCATACAGCACAGCATTACATACTGTTCAGTCTTGGTTACCTTTAAATTTTTTGTTGGGGTCAGAGGCTAGCCGGACAGCCAGACTAAGACCGATTCCCGAGGAGCATCCCGTGATCAGCACCACCTTCTTGTCCATGGAGCCTGCCTCTCTAATGTTCTGCTTCAACAGAGAGCAGCTGGAGCCAAGAGGATAAGATGTAGGCATGTCAAAACGCTTCTCAGAGTTTTTACGTCATTCGCTATCACAAGGCCAGTTTAATCCTAAACATTTTTCTCTTATCAGGCACCTGCTGTCTTCTATTTTTTTTCTCATGTCCTTGCAAGTGTAGTTTATTTTTTTTCTGTTGAGACATGGGAAACATTTCTGCCTTCATGAGGGGCTTGTTTATATGACCAGTGACATAAAGTATCAAGGATACAAGTGCAAATTAAATATTATATTTCTTGAGGTGTATATACTAGACTTTCTGTGACGTCTGTGAGGTTGTATCCAAATTTTGAATACAATGTAGCTTTTGAGAATAATAATAATTCTCAGAAAATATACCACTTTATCCTATCCAGCAAAACATCATAATATCAGTCCTCAATCACACCATGTATAAAGTCTACACAAATTTCTGGCTGCTCCTTTGACCGCATCAAGACAATAAGGCTGGCAATAGCCAGAATAGAGAACAATTGATTGGAGGGATTTACAGTAGGAGGGAAGTCGCAGTCATGTTGTTCTTATAAGGTCTTTGATTTGGAGACTTTTCCCAGGCTTGTGTTTAGGGAAATTGTTATTTTAGGTTTTAGGATTCAGGTTTATAAAGATAAACCATCCAGCAGAGTCTAAAATATTCTTTAAATATGTAAGAAAGTCATCTAAATTCAAATGTGTACATATGCTTTTAATCACATCTCATCGGCTGTTGAAAGCTTTGATAAGACTAGAAAGTGGACCTTTGAGTTAAGATTATTTTCCTCACACTTACTGTTCCCAAGATTAGACTCAAGGGCTGAACTAATTAATTTTTTATGTCTAAATTAATCTTAATAAGTCTTGACTCTGTGAATCTGTAAAGTGTTTTAAGTGTTTTAAGTGTTTAAGCATGTCAAAAAAAGGCATTGCACAAAATGAAATGCAGTCGCACTGAGGAAACTAAGGGGAAACTTGGCCCATTTTAAAGCAAGACATTCCAACCGAAGCCCATGTACAGCCCAGTGTCTATTATTCAGTACAAGTAATCCATCATGCAAGTTCTGAGCAAGTGGAAAATATGTTGTGATTACGAGGCGTCATTTAGTGAGTTTACACTAGGTGGCGACAAATCCTCAGATATGGACCATTCATCTATCAGCGTTTGAGTAAAGCCTAGTAATTATGAACATCCACCATAATAAGCTGTCAAGAAACACTGGGCATGGTGCTGGGTTTGGGTGAATTCTTAAGGAAAATAAGTGCAATGTCATATACAGAATAAAACATGCAACATGAAATTTGACTTTTTCTCTGTTAAAATACCTCTTAAAGTCATTCTGCTGCTTCAGTGTAATGTGTCATGGTTCTCCTCCTCCATTTTTTGCCTTGTTTCTACTTTTCTGCATTTAGTTACCATCTCATGTGCTTTCTCCTACAGAGTTTCTGACCATTCACCATATTTATGCAACATTTCAGCAGCTTGATTCGAAAGAATTTCTTCTGCTGATGGGAGCAAACCAAGTAGGAATTTCCTGCCATTTTGTTGCGTTCCTCTCCTTGAGATGGCATCAGCTTGGCTGCTGTCCCAGAGTCTGTAGGACAGATAACAGCAGGCCTTGAACCTCTTTCAAATATCTACGACTCCCTGGCATTGTTAAAAACCTCAAACTGCCTGACCTCAGACATTAGTGAGTTTTAGCTCTTTTTATAGTATACAGTATGCATGCATTCATTATTTTTTGTTTAATGCTTGTTCAGGGATAGGAAGCTTGAATACAAAAACATGTATGCATGTTATTGTTCTTGTAGGAGAGGCGCTGAAGCACACCCAAGTTGCTACTGTGTGCAAAAGTTGAGTGAGAAAGCAAATGCCAGTAGAAAATTCAATACACAGTGAAGCTGGGCTGCACTTCATCCATTAGTTGTCTCTAAATCCATCCTGACAGCATTGGAACAGTCTACGGTCCATGGTGCAGTTGGGCAGCTTCCTGCTGCACGTGGCCTGGAGTCTCCCTGTGGCCCAGTAATTAACAAGAGAAGGTCGAGTGGAGGTGCACAGTGGTCTGGAAAAGCCTTTAAAACTCCTCCTCGACAAGATTGGCCCACAGCACTGAGAGTAAACAGATTTCTGAAGATAGTTGCTCAGGGAAAGAGCAAGGGCAACCCACGTGCACAGCTGTGTGTCTTTGTGACAATTTGGGGAGAAAAGTAAAGTGTTTGTTGGAAGTGGTGTAGGCTGCAGGCCGGCCTCGTGCTCAAGGGGGAAATGCATGAAACAGAGCAGTCATGGATTCTGCTCACCCCATGGAGGACGAGACAAAGTGAGTCACATTGAGCTGTGCTATTCCAGGGCAAACGCATGGAATCAGTGCATGGTGCAGACACAATACAAGGTTTGTAAATACACCGTGAGTGGCTTCAGAAGCAGATGTGCTCGACAGGATGTCCCATGTGAGAGTGATGAGCAGAAGTGAAACAGCTGAAGTGATGGATGTGGTGAAGCTGAAATGTCACGCTATAGCAGGTTAACTGAGGCTACATTTTACTGAGGGCGTTTCAGATGAACTTAATCATGCAGATCTTTCATTTCTCAGAGTTTCCTCACTATACAGGTGAAGGATAAAACAGTTCAATGCACTTTTGAAGCTTTTTCTTAATCTCATAAAACACTGTCATTCTTGTGATCAGCCTATACCAGCCAAAGTGGGGTTTCCATCACCCGGTATGAAGAATAAGAAAGGGATCCATTTGATCAATACTTTACATAAAAATAAAGCCTTATTTTGACTTTTGTCATGTTCTTCATGTCTGGAGCAAAACCTTTGCCTGAGCAGCAGGAAGGCAGACAGACAGCTTTGCCTAACACAAGCTTTAAAGTAACAACTATTAACTGTGGTGACAGTACTGCATCATCTTGTAATATGTTGCTGAACATAAATGAGGCACAATTCTCAAAACGTACATAAATTACATTGATTGTTGATTGTTTGTTTTGATGTAAAATATATTTCTACATGTTGAGTCAGTTATATGACACCCACATAGCTGAGCTGAAAACAAAGAGAAACTTTAAGCTAGGCTAGGTAATGGTTCCTAGATAACTGAAAGCATTTGCATTATGAGAATGGATATATGGTTACAATTCATACAATCTATTTTACTTTACATAACTGCTGACAAAGGCTGCAGATAACAATAAGGACATCCCTTTGAAGACTGAAGTGTGACATATTTATATTTTGTCTCCATTCCAATAAGTTCGTACTGGCGTTTCCATCTGATATCAAATGAATTCATCTCTACCTGTCTAAGAGGTTTTGTTTCATTTGTAAAACCACAGTTTGCCTGCTTTTGTGTAGACTTGATGGATTTTATTATTATAACTACGCGTCTACATCTAATGATATAAAGTTACTGTGTCTGTGACCTTTAACTGCCTCTCTTCTCAACACACAGTGGATACATTTGATCCATATCCTTTTCTTCAAATCTGGCTCAAATAATTCATCAAAGTCTGCAGCCTTTCAACTCTCTTACTTATAAAATGTTCTGCCCGGAGACATGTTAGTTTTGGTGTCTCTCCAGAGTTGCTTCTATTTCACTACTGTATGCATGCACAGCTCTTTGCTCACTGGTAAAGGAAATGTCCAAAGTAAACTGTCAATGTTTGAGAGGGGTTTCTTGCTTGTGCGTTGTAGTTGGACATAGTGCTCTTATATTAGATGTTGCAGGCATCTGTGATAAAAATAGAAAGTATCCCCTGTTCTGTGAAACCCATCCCAGCCTACAGGACAACTGGGAATGGAGCGAGAGATCGAAAGAATTCCCTCCACTGAGAATGTAGTCCAGGACGATAAAAACCCAAACCAAGGAGCTATAACTTTATAGGCCTGCTTATAAACTGCTGACTGACGAGAGATGTGGCTCCGACTAATAGATCAGTTCTGACGACGTATGGCAGGCTTACTTCAATAAAGGGTAAAGAGAGAGCCTGAGAAATCCACGATGCATTTTTCACATGGTAATATAGAGGGAGTGCGGCTCGCTCCTCTCTGGTAAAATCATCATGGCTGAAAGAAGAGAGGACGGAAAGTATGAATGGTTTTGAACACACGTATACATACAGGGGCAGAATCAGCACTTTTCAAATGTCTAATCTACAGAATAGAATTTCCTGAAATTATTACAGTATAAAAAGCTCAAACTTAACTATCATAAAGATTTAGTCCTGCCTGATAGCTTTAGAATTGTTAGTTATATTCTTTAGAAAGAGAGAAATGCAATCTGTCTGAAAGCGTTATTCATGAGAAAGTCGGTGCAAGACCAAGACAGAGAGAAACAAACATTTAGTCATATTTTAAGTGCAAGAACATTACAGTCCTGCTGTGGGCCCAAGGGAGGGGTGTGGCCAAACTTCCATCCCAGAGCAAGGTCAAGGGTCACTCAGGTCTTGTCATGAGAAGGGATTAGGGCATCATATTTTATATGTGTATATGTTCCCAGAGGTTTTGAGACTGGATGATGCAGGGGTTATGGTTGCCTGCTGGACATGAGACTTTACGTCATGAGTAACCCTCAGGGCCACTGCCTGACCTGCCGGTTTTGCATTCCGCTGGACCAGTTTGTGTACAAAACCTCAGAGAGGAAATGGCGGGGATTGTGTCATGGGAAATGTCCCCTCAGTCTTGAATCAACCACTCAAGGCATTCTTTCTCTCTAATACATTGAGGACATCCTGTTCCTGCTATTTTCTTGGCCTTCAGGCACTTGAGTCTGACCTGACTATACCCGACCTTTATTTAGCTCAGAGCACTGTCTTAGTCAAGGTTTAAGCTGGAGGTCAAAACAGGACAGTTTCAGCGTGTATGCATACCTCCTGCAGCTGCACCATCATGTGACTTTTGTTCAGTCGACAGGCACAAACGTATCTGAAATATGTATCAGAGGCAAGATCCAGCTCGTTAGATAACATACACAAGAAAATGTTGTCTGTGTAAGAGCAGATCTCATCAGTGGAGGGTTGAGGGGTCAAGTCCATGGTCTGGCTGGGAAAATACAGTTGGAGACAGCAGACGACTACGGTTGGATTGAGTAGCTTCAACGGGTCAGTGGTTGAATCTAAAGCACAGAAAGACAAATGTGCTAACTCTAAACATTAAACCAAAAAAAATGAATAATAAAATGGCTGTATTTGTATTTTATTTATATTTTTCTGTGAAACTTTCCAGTAGCACGCATTCCAGTGTTTTATCTTTCGTTTCTTGGCTGTCTGTCTTTGCTCCAGGTGCAGGAGGCGGAGAATGCCAGGCACTCCATGCATCAGTACCTCACCTATGATGTGGTGAAGTGAAGGGATGGGTGGTGTGTCAGGGCATGGCAAGTGACTCAGCCATGCTGGTATTTACCCAATATCATATAAAGTAAGTAAATGCAGGCATGTTTTAGCACTACAACTCTCACTCAGCCCAGTTCTCACGCCAGAACATCTACTTCTTCTTTCTCTTTGAGCCCCTCACTCTCTTTCTCTCATTTTATCTGAATCATTTCTAAATAATGCTTCTCCCTGTGCCTTCTTGCCTTCCCACAGACACTGATGAAATCAGTGACGCCCTCCACCCACCACCTGGTTACCTGGATACCCTCTGTTTACAGCTGGGTCTGGACACACTGTAACTAAGTGTGTAGACATAACATGATACATTGTGTTAGTATGCATGAGAGTAGTGTGGCAAGACTTCCCACAAACATAAACGCCACACATTACACACCCTTTTTTAAGAAACTGCGAACATATTATATTTGCATTTCGCAGTCATATGTAAACCCTTCCTCTCTTTCCTAAGCTCTTTCCTGTGTTCTCATGTGCAAATGCTTACCAACCCCACTTCCTCTGGGTATCAAATGCATACAGTTCACACAAAAGAAATGAACGTGCTCTGCAGTTGAGTTATGCAGCGCCTAGACCTGAATAATGAAGTCTTATCCTGACATTTGTCTTAGCGTCTGCATTGTTGCCATTTTCTTTTGTTTTCTGCTTGTCGAGGATACCCCACCTATTTTATTAGCTTGCATAAGCTTGCTGTAAAAGGGAAGCTACAGTGATACCTTGGCAGATAGTCTGTCAGTGAACTCAGCCCATTTTACCAGCCCAGTTGCATAATCGCCAACTCGACTTTCAGTTCCCAGGAGCCAAGAACACAATGACATAAACTCTTACACCTGTGGCATGTAAACCTGCTGAATGCCTAACATCTTGAGCACATTTTCTTCCCCTGTTCTCTAATTGACGCGTTTAGAAGATCATATTTCCTCTGCACCCTTTGTCGTCTGTTCTCGGCACAGGCCCAGCGCGTCCCACACTCTCACAGTTGAGGTTAATCCTTGTCATTACCTCAACAAATACTTCTCTCACAAGCCTGAATAGAAAGAAATGTCACCAGTTTTCATTTCTAACATACCTGTTCTGGTTTGTCATTATGTTTTGTTTTTTTCCAACACTGTGGTATTCTCATTGGTTAATTCCTCAACGGTTTTTCCCATGCAACATTTGAATTGAAACAGAGATTCCCTTGCCCTGCAATAAAAACTAAGACAAAACTCCACATGGTATCTTTTCTTAGAGTATCTGGGTAAGATGTCTGCAATGTGTTGTTTGTTATTTTTCTGCTCCACTTCCTTCTGTAATGCCTGTAAATTTCAATGAATCTATGTTTAGAACTGGTGGTTTACAGTGAGAAGTCACCTATATTATGCAAATGCCCAGATGTCTGCTGTATTACTGCACATTGGTTATTGTTTAAGTAGTTACAGGAGATTACAGTTTCTCTATTCAGTTATTCTGACCACTTCAGAAAAAAGAAATAACATAAATCTTCCTCTTACAAATTAAATGTTGAATTCATAAGCAATAAAATTCCCCTTTGCTCAGCTCAATACTTTTATTACTACAGCCTCACTTGTTCTGGTATGTAACTTATGATTAGTTGTTTCAGGGACATTCCAAAATCAGATCAAAAGAGGCACAGGTCAGAGTCAAATACCATAATTCCACATAAAAAAAGCAAATAATAAAAAAGAGAATGCCTCTTAAACACTTTTTGGCTCCCTAGCGCCAGAGACAGTTATTTATTATATCTTTTTTTAATCTAAATAATAAGAATTATGTAAATGTACTGTTTCTACACAACCTCCCAGTCTGAGCTAAGGATGCAGATACCAAACATTCCCAAGGACCATCTGGGTCTTATCACCTCTCAACATCATTTCCTTCACATAAAATGGCCAAGACCGGGAGCCAAATCCCTTAAGTGGTTGTGCTCACTGTACAGTAAATGGTGCTACGTGCCTATCACATGTCACTCCCTATTTTGTCATGTCACTGACCCTTCATTTCATTGCTAATGTCGATCACAAATTCCCGTCTTCCTCCTCTTGCACTCATATTCTGTGCATGCTGCAGTGCCGTTGTCTTTTAAAGTGATAAGAGGGAGAGTTAAAGGCTAAGGTACATTTCGACAGAGATAGAAAGGGTCACTGTGACACGTTGGGGAATTTCTCAGTCATCCTTTGTGGTAAACGGCAATTGAAGCCGTCTTGCAGTTGTGAGACGACAGGGCAAAGGTCAATACAGGAAACGTGCTGAGCTGCATGATCCTGAAGAAGTCCGCCAACATAAGCAGATCACTCGGCTGTATCTGGGGCGAACATTTTTGCTGACGATTTATCATACTCAGTAATTATTACATAAGAACTTGTTGGCCTATAATTTGGGTTTAGAAAGCAGACTTCTGTGGAGGGAGCAGATAACGTACCAGGAGGAGGAGGAGGAGGAGGAGGAAGAGAGAAGCCCAAACGCATGATTATTAGCTGTCGGTTAAATAAGATGGTTTTTCCGAGACTTATCTAAGCCAAGAATCGAGTTGAATTCTCGTAGTGACATGCATGGCAATCTTCATGATGGGCATGAGGGGAATGCCATGGCATTACAGCCTAATTTGGGCATCATACTGAGCTGAAGAGCCAGTTTGACTCTCAGTAACATTCCACCTCCTCTTAGTTTCTGTTCATTAAGCTGTTATGAACTCACCTTCACATTCCTTCCTTGTTTACGGCGCATTTCAGGATGGTGACAGGATTACTTTGGGTGGCGTCCATGCCGTCCACACCCTTTCACTTACAATAAACTGAATAACTTCTGTCAGTTAACACCGTTGTGTGAGCTTAGGTGTCCTCTTGTATAGAAACCCAGGTATCACTGTTTAAGGTATACTTTAGAAAGGGTTTATAAGTTGCATAGTTAACAGCTTTATTAACAAATAATTTACATCTTTTTATAGATTATCATTTCCATCACAAAGTCCACAGTTTGACCGCTAACTTTCTGGAAAAAAAACTGCAGAAAGGTCACAAGATAAGTTTGAAAAGTCACAAGATAAGTTTAAGTTGGATAATTTAAGCAGTAATTTGAATGAAATCATGCAGGAAATCTCTTTTTTCTTTACTGACACATAGATATCTGAAACAAAACAAGAGGCCCCAACCAGGCACAGATTTCACTGTAAATGATCACAAGCCAAAAACCACTGGTTTAACAACTTTAACAACTTTAACATGTTGTATTAAGCTCATATGTTTTTATGTGAAATCTCACTCTGAAAAGTAAGTAATTAGTACATCTTTCAGTTTAATGTAATGGAGTGAAACTCTGTCTCTCTGAAATGTAGTGGAGTTGAACAATGAAGCAGCAGAAAAGGGAAATACTCAAGTAAAGTATGAGTACCTCATAACTGTACTTAAAGGTCCAGTTTGTAACCTCTACGAGGATCTATTGGCATCTAATGGACTATAATAGTCATAGGTATCATTTAATTAGTGTATAACAACCTGAAAATAAGAATCATTGTGTTTTTGTTACCTTGGAATGATACATTTTTCCACCATGTTGAACTGCCATGTTTCTGCAGTAGCCTGGAATGGACAAATCAAACACTGGCTCTAGAAAGGCCTCTCGTGTTTTGTGGCCACTGTAGTTTCTACACACTTGGAAGGCAAGCGGTATTCATTTGGTTGCAATCTTCCCTGTTAGATGCCACTAAATCCTACACACTGGTCCTTTAAGTACAGTATTAAATAAATGCACTTAGTCACTTTTCACCACTAAGAGTCTCCAAATTGAACTATATTACAAAATGATAAAGATCTGACCCTTTATTAATAATTGACCAGTGTTTTTAACTGCAGACATGACTGATTACTTGCAATATCAATTTAACATCATGTTAAAATAAGACATTAACTTTGAAGTTAATGTTAACAAAGACAAAGTTATGGTGGACCTAAGAAATTTGACACTACCTTGTACTTCAGCTGATATCAGGATGTAATACTTGCACTGACCAAAATTATGACAAAAGATTGTTTTTTTAGACATGTTCATCTTTATTTTTCTCGGAGTTTGAGTGCGTAAAAGTAATGTGGAAACAAACGTCCGGGCCTCATCCTTGTGAGCATTGCAGTTTATTTAATTCATGACTGTCTTGGGTGTCTGAGTCTCACAGTAGACTCAGCCAGATCATATGACCGATCTGTCTCTGGGGTCTTTGATCAGTGCTTCGGATCACATACTGCAGTGGACATATGCTGTTCTCCTCATTAACGTTATACTCCGGACAAAGGTGAACTGACATCAAAGGTGCTGGAAAACTCTTACATGAGAGAGATGTCAGGCTAGATTTGGCGAGGGTGTTATTTTTTTTCTCCTTTGTATGGGGGACTTTTTTGTTTTCTTGTGTGTGATTGTAAAGTCTTTATGCAACCTACTATTGTTGCAAAATATAAAACCTTTGAACAAGTATTGTCCTTATTTTAGACAGTTATTTTTGGAACCATAACATGTGATATGTCCTTAAGGCTGTAAAAAATAAAAAAGAAGACAAGGCCCTGAAGTTGTTTTTTTTTGGTCAAACAATAAAGTGATCTGTAGTTTCCAAATAATTAATTTTTTCATGTCTTTAGCACTGGAGTCTCAGTCTTGCCTCTGGTTTAACAGGGATGTGGCAGCGGATTCCTATTGCCTGGCTTTGCGTCAGCAGGGGGATTCCTCAAGATCCAGCATCTGGCTGCTGCATTCCTGCTGTCCCTACACATTGCCATCGCAACGCTCACGAGACACAACAGTTCGATAGCCACAGTCACAGACACAGAGTCGTTTCCTGTCCCCCAGCTGGAGTGAGGGGTGTGAGAAACATGCTCACTGAGCTCAGAGTTATGGCCAGAGAGGCGAATGGTTGCACAGAACCAAATAACCCCATCCCACACTTTGACGATAGTCTCCCCCCCCCGCTCCAACAGACACTCTACTCAATAGACGTGGAAGAGAGACAAAGGAGCAGTTCAGTGTCTGTTAACACAAGAGGGCCTGTCTATAATAAATACTAGGCTATGAATGAAAGATGTGTAAGCTTTGTGACCAAACATGAAAATCCAACTCTGGTTCTTCAGACAAATCGTTGGAACTGATTAGGAAGATTATGTTAAAGCCTAGCAGATGGTACAAACCCTTGCCTTTATTTGCGGGGTTTCAGGGTTTCGAATTAGAGGAGGGCCTGTCAGGGCCGGGTGTCCCATCAAAGCGGGGACACGCCTCAGCGTGGCCACAGACATTGAGCTAAAGGGCGGCTAACTCAGTCTGAATTCCTGCCAGAGTGTTTTATGTTCCCATTCAGTCTGAGGAAGGAGCTGCAGACCACTGAAGGCTGGACACTCTCCAACTCTTTACACATTATTTAAAGGGAAATTCATTTGACTTTTTACATATTCTGTTGCCAGTTGCCACCAGTTAACGTTACATGTACACTTAAAATCCTTTGCAGGCTTGTAAAACAGCAGTGTAAAATGATCACTTCTTTTAAAAGGCAGCCAAACAAATAGCTTCCTGTGGAAAATTAGATTTTCGGAGTAAAGCGATTTGAGAATTGTTTGATTCATCGGTGACTGTGGGTCACTTGCCTGATTTGTGATGTGATCAGCTGAAAAGCTGAGGGGTTGATATAGATGCCAGTTTTAACACAGAAGCCTGAAGGGACGCATGAATAACTGGCTGTCAGCGTGAGCCATAAGTCATAGCTGTGGGGTCCTCGAGTGCTAAACTGGCGGAAACACACACATACACAGACACACACATATGAGTGCATACACTTAAGCTTAGGTGTCTCCCTGGGAGGTCTTGTAAGGGTAATAGCAAAAGAACTGGGACCTGAATCTAAAATTATGGGAGCCGGATTTTTGTTTGTTCATGGGGGTCTTGAGCCAACCTCTGGATTTACTGAGGTTTTGTTTGTGTGAATAAGAACAAAACACAGGAAAACAGTAGCAGGCTACTGGGCCACAGCCAGCGCATAACAAAATGGGATGAATGATTTCTGTGGAAAAGGAGGGTGGTGGTCAAAACCCTCCTCATCATTATTTCACCCTTCTGGGGTTTTGCAGGAAGTTGAGAAAATAGATTTCTGAGCTGTGAATCAGGTTCAGAGTCTTACAGGAGAGTTCAGGTAAGAAAAAACAGGTATTATTGCTTGTATAACTTTATTTTTTGTGTGTCTTC